TCCTCGAGAGCCTGACGAAGCTGATCTTCGGTATATTGAGGCATTATATATAGAAGAAGACATGTGCAAAAGATGAGCCCATTTGGACGCGAATTGAAAATGTTGTGATAAAAGGAGGTTGGGGGTGGGCATTGGGTTGTGGTGGATTTTCGCGTTTTTGTGGGTGCCAGAAACAGGGGGGTGCCAGGAAGTGGGTATGTTGACTTATACACCAAAGAAAGGAAATTGACTGAACCCATACTGAGTCTTGCCGAAGCACGTCATTCGCAGCACCAAGAAAGCAAGGCTGAGGTCTAAGCTATACCTTTGGAACATTTTCCTGGTCATCGGTGGGTTGACCCAGCCACGTTTTGCCTCTCTCGGAGTTTCCTGCTTCTGAGGTTCTCCTGCATTTGGCTGATTCCTAGCGCTAGGCATCTACGGTACAATTAGCAGCTACAATATTGCAGAGTAAGTTTCTTTCCACAAACGCACCATAGGCTAGTCACCAACTCTTCCACTTTAGTACCGTTTGGGATTTGTATGGTGGTGGTTGTCGCATCTACTTTCGATGGCAATCAATGATACCACTCATTGCAATAGATCCACTTGCAACTGTAAGGGATTGCACTGCCGGAGCTCACAGTACAGATGCTGATCATTATTCTAGGTATACCTGACGATTCTGTTCCTGCAGCCACTTTGTAGTAAGTTAAGCTTCGCGTTCACTGACTTGGCGTCTCTTAACCGGCCATTAGGGACATATTCGCTGCGATGGCTACCCTCCACCACCGGTTTCCGCTACTTTCATCCCGTCGCTCATTCTCCCAACCCTCCGAACCATAGGCTTCGACAACTAGCGAAGAGAACCATTATCGGATCGATAGCCACGATGGGCAGCAGTCTACTGGAAGTATTTCAAATACAAGACGACTCCTCGAAGTGATGAAATACTAACATCACATAGTAACTGCATCACCATAGTGGGTTTGCGGGGTGAGGTTGCGTGGCTATGCATGATGTGTTGCACAAGCGATAGTAAGCCCTTGAAGTTTGTTCCTACTGGTTGGAATTAATTGGGCTGATGATTGTTTCAGTTCTATTTTCAGCCATCGTCATTCACTGGATGATGAATAGCAGCAGTACGGGCACCCGTGAGGCCACGGAGGAATCCAGTACCAAGACCTCTACCAGAGCTCTGTGTCAGCAGCGGCCTTCTCCTCCTGGCGTCGCCTCTCCTCGCCCAATTCACGTGTTGTCTAGCCTACGAAGTCATTATTCGGCAGGAGTGTGAAGTTCGACGATGAATGGGGCGAAGCATGGAGATGCATCTGCACTTGCTTCCTTAAAGTAATCAGTTTCGATTGGATCAAGCTCGTAGATATCATGCCGAATGGCTTGAGGATTTCTGTTATCTTTCATTCTGCCTGGGTCGTCCTGTACCACGAGCATACCACAAAGTATAGACATTTCTCACATCTCATCCTGCAATCGAGGGCTGCACGTTCAGTTGACTCTTGAGTCCCACATTCGCTCTATCTTCCCATAACTTACAGCCCTGCTTTCTCCTCTGTCATAAGTACTGCTACACCCATCTAATGTTTTCCAGGCCGATAGACCACCTTATCCCTAAGCAACCTGGGCGTATTCGGATCATGGCTCGGCAGTACAACGACGTCGTGGCTCCGAGCATACGCCTTAATTTTCTTCAAACTCTCAAACGCCGCCACAGGATCACTATTCGCACCATCCGGCTCTTCCTTATCCAACACACTAATCGCATACGTCGCATCTCCCGTCAGAAAATACTTCGTCTTACTCCCATCGTCGTTGTCCCCCACCACAATCAACGAGATATGACCCGGCACGTGGCCCGGCGTATCGACCGCGACAATCGTGCCGCCCGGCGCAAGCTCACACGACCGACCCCAAGGCCCCACGGCGCGCTTTTCCTCAAAATCAAGGATCCGCGGCTCGAAATCCTTGGGCCACCGGTCCGGCGTGCACCCTTGCATAGCAGCATAGACTGGATGCTTCCCGAAGGCATCCCAGTGTTCTCCGCCGACGTAGATGGGCACATCGGGCGCCTCGACAGCAAGAACCTCCAGTCCGCCGGCGTGATCGTGGTGTAGGTGGCTAATGATGATAAACTGTAGATCCGTTGGCTCGATGCCGCGTTTGCGGAGCTGCTTGACGATGCCGTCCTCCTTTGTAAGTTCTAGCTTGTTGAGGATGCCCGGCACCGGGTTCCAACAGGGGAAGTAGCCCGGTTCGGTGCAGTGTGTTGACACGCCCGTGTCGAAGAGGATGGGACCCTTGGGATGGTGAATGAGGAATGCACCAAGGGGCATGGGACCAATCCAGTCGCCGGTGAAGGAGCGGAGGAAGCGGAGAGCGATATTGCGGTTCTCTATGGGTTGGCCTTGCATCCCGGTATGCATCCAGACGTTGCCGGTGGTGATGAACTCGAGCGAGATCTTGTCCGTGGGCGCCATGATGGCAGCTTTTTTTACGTCGCTTTCTGGGATGTTTGTGTGCTCTTTCCGTGCTTTTCTTCGACTCTTCGGCTCTTCATTGATACCGAGCTAGGTAGTGCTGTTCTCTACTATACAGCAGCTGCGATTGATGACGGCTTCCAAAATTTCGGGTCGATTGTCAGTCGAAGGGTAAAAAGCACTGGACTCGGGCTAACCAACGTTCGTTTGGCCACGCGGGATTCTTTAAGAATGGTCCCATCAGCTCCATTATGCAGGCACCCGTTTCCCGGCGCGGTGCAAGAATTCCTGTGGCCGTATTCTGGCCAATTATGAGCATTCCGATAAGCATTCAGCTCCGCCAGCCGCAGTCCGCCCCCAGTGCGAAGATGTCAGCAATGAGCATCCCTGGCAACCGCAGGACCCCTTGCTGGAAGAGGCGCATTCCAGTCAGCCTCGAAATCCATCAGCCAGCAGTTCCCGTGTGTGAGTGTGAGATATTACTCATGTATCTAAACGATGAGTGTGTTGAGAATTGGCGGATGGTTGATCCCGAAAACATGGTTATGGGGTCGACCCGGCGATGCGGCACACTAGCAGGGATGCAGATGACCATAGACATTCAGACGATCGGACAGACTTATCTTTGACTAGCTTCTACCCTTGATCTTTGTGTATTTTGCGTCGTTGGACCGCCTCATCTGGATGCATATAGTCAATCTTTCACCAGCATTTGTTCCTGAAGTTGAATCGCAATGCCAGGATCTGGTGATCTTGCCCACAGAAACCACCGAGCGAAAAATAGGTGAATACGCTTGGCGCACGGTGGGAGAAGATCTCTTCCCTCACGATTCTTTTCGAGGTTCTCAAATCAATTCGATTCTATCGCAGGTCTAGTTCCATTTAAATCCGGTCATCCGGCGAAAGTTGCGCTTGTTTCAATGTTCTTATGGTACGAGATCGGCCCTTTAGCATGGAAATGTGTGTCCATGACACCATCCGCCTTGCTTTTAAAGCGGAAAGTACTCATCATGACCAAAACTTATATGGAGGTGCCAGAGTAACCTACAACATGTTTCTCGGCCGACATTTGCACTGCGCTATAGAGAAAAGCACATAGATATTCGAATTCCAGGTCCAGCCTGAGCTTCTGGGAAAGCGGCCAACTTTCGGTCTAGCTCCGGTCACCCCTCCGGTAACCGGACCCGTACCGAGTCGCAGACCGACCTGGCCGCGGATTCACCGATTCACCGAGGTGAGTCGAACCCATAGGGATTTCTTATTCCCGTAATGCCACAGCGCATCACAGCTCGCCCTGCAATCTGCTTTTAAGCTCCCTACGGACCCTACCCCAGTTTCAACCTTTTTAAGTAACCAAATTTCCGAACGCGAATTCCCACCCAGGCATCGCGACAAGCATCTAGACCAGGCTATCGATCTTGTCTCCTTTATAAGAAATATCAACAAGATGAGAGCACAGATGACACCATAGACACTAACGGAAAACCATCACCAACCCCCATCCCCCCCTCCCAGCTGTCTCCTTCTCATATCTGAAGCCTTGACTGGCCCTCTCTCCCATGACAAGCTTTTGCGCTAACAGCGCGCAACACAAGTACGGAGTACATCGCACAGATGCCTCGACTCGCGCTCTTCGTTTAAGCTTTGCCAACCCTCAGGATGACCCCTGCCATGATTCCCCAAAAGCTTGGAGACACCTTCAGACGTTGCACCGAGAATAATTTGCACCAATGAGCAGACTGCAGTGCCCTCGGGTAGGACGGCCATGTTCATCTGATCACAAACCCTTTGGAAATCCGGTTAGCCGTCTTTTAAACGAGTTCAACAAATCTAGCTTCCGCCCCCTCCACTCAGTACGGCGCAAGCAGCCCAAAAACAAGTGCCGGCATCCCGTCTTGGGCCCGGGTCTGGGCGAACTTTCCACTGCATCGGGGCAGTCATTCTGGAAGAATGGAACATCAGGAACAAGGCATACACTGCACGGCGCGAATGGTTCCGTCGTTACAACTTCTCTTGAGCCAGCCTACAAGCGCTCCCGTCGGCTGGCCCGTTCCAAAGGGGAAGAAGTTCTGCACTCCAACGCGGGGTTAGACTCAGCTTAGTCCCTTTTTCTCTTCGACCGACCAACTTCACTTCCTCGCGCCATCTTTCCCACGAGGCACCAGACACCTCAACTCGGGCCACAAGAGGGGACGGGTTACTGCTCTCTCTCCCTCATTAATCTCACCAGTATTCAACTTACTGTGTACGGCGACTCGGGTCGTATTTAGTCGCCGAAAAGGGCAAGGCTTCTCCGCTGGGAACATCCCAGCTTGGAAGCTCCATACTCCGCCCTCAGTCCGCGTGGTCGGTGGTCCAACTCTCAGTGCTCCACGATGTTGAGGACGGGCCACCTCAACGACGAGAGCCCGCGATTGGCGGAGATTTCCCTTGCTCGACGACGGACGTCGTGAAACACGAAAGACAGAGCCCACCTCCCCTCCAACGCCCCTTTCTAGCACACAGCAACCACTGAACCAGATTAATTGTATTGCGCCATCGGTTAGCCGTAAGTGGAGAGGAGTAAGGGATGTCTATGGTTTGGACGCTGTACACCATCTGAGTGGCTCGGTTCCTGTCCAGTAGCAATGTTGTGATAATGCTCTAACAATCAGACGGACTAAGTATACTCAATGACAGTCGATCTGAGCAGTCTTTCACTTGTGATCCTTCCATGTAGCAGACACCAGAGAGATGATCCAGCGACGGAGATTCGAGGAATGCAACCGCCAGGCCCCTTTCGAAACGAAGCAGCACCGCCGTCCTCCGTGTGCGGGGCGGAGAGGAGCCCCGATGTGACCTCAAGTGCCGCTGCGAGCCTGCGGCTCGTCTGATTGCTGGTCTTTTCCTTGCCTTGCAGCCGCTCGCTAACGTAAAAGTCTACTCTATATGGCACACCACGAGGACCGGCCCCCCGGTGGTCTACCGCTGGAGCAATCCGCCGCTTTCCCGTTATTGTGGTCTCGCCCAGGACTCGACCGAGATGGGGAGGACCCGGTCACCCGGACGAGTGGAAACCACCCTCGTCGAGTTTAACTGGTGTTCTTCCACATTGGCGATATTGAGGAGGCTAACAGGCGATCGTTGGAAACAAATGAACCGGGGTCGAGGGGTTGCACTAGACTCTAGTTAATATTGGCTGGAAGATGGGATTTCCCACGTATCCCGGCCCTGACGGAAAGCTTGTCAAGAGTCAGTTAAGAGCCGCTCTCCAATAAGCTATAAGGCAAAGCTTCCTTCCTCCAAGCTGAAGCCTTCCACCCCATCTTCTCACGAGACACATACACATCCCTTCGCTCGCTCCGGAGAACCCTGTCACTCTTTACCTCACCCACAGTCCTTCTCTCAAAACAAGACACGATGCGCACTAACATCGCGCTCCTCGCTGGCTTCCTAGGCCTGGCCTCCGCCCTCCCCACCGACGCCGAGTCCGTCGAGAAGCGCCAGACCGTCCCGACGATCTACCTCTGCGGCGACAGCACCACAGCTAAGGGCGGCGGCGGCTCCGGCACCGAGGGCTGGGGCCAGTTCCTGCAGTACTCCTTCTCGACCAGTAAAGCTAAGGTCGACAACCGCGCCATTGGCGGCCGCAGCGCGCGTTCCTACACCCGCGAGGGCCGCTTCGATACCGTGGCAGGGCTCGTCAAGTCAGGCGACTGGGTCGTCATTGAGTTTGGTCACAATGACGGCGGCTCGCTTACGCCTACCGACAACGGACGGACGGATTGCTTTGGTGATGGTGCGCAGACTTGCTCGACTACCTACAAGTGAGTATTTGCTGGTTTGCTAGGGTTCGTGGTGAAGAAGACGATGCTGACTGTTGTGGAGTGGTGTTGCCGAGACTGTTCTCACGTACCCTGCGTACCTCAAGAATGCCGCCAAGAAGTTCAACGCTGCTGGTGCCAAGGTATGATCACCGACTTGGATCTCTGATCTCACATGAGTATCTGGCTTACACTCATCTCGCAGGTCATCATCGCCGCCGCGACCCCCAACAACGTCTGGGAGACTGGCACCTACAAGTTCGGATACGATCGCTTCTTCTACTACGCCTGGTAAGCCCTCAACCTTTTCATCATCCAAACAACCATCAGATTGGAGACTAACACCAACACCCAGGCTCGCCGTTGAGCAGCTCGGCGGCCCCTCCAAGGGCTACTACTTCGTCCCGCACGGCGAGTACGCCGCCCAGGCGATGAAGGGCCTCGGCGCGACCACCACCAACGCGAACTACCCCAACGACCACACCCACACCGCGCCCTTCCTTGCCGATGCTATTCACAAGTCCTTTGTCCTCGGCCTCAAGTGCGGCACCACTGCACTCGCCGGGCTTGCTAAGAACACGACTGCTTCTCTGACGTCGACCTACCTCGGCGGATGTGTCGACACGTACAACTCCACTGTCCACGCTCTGCTGCGATAAATGCACTCTTTCTCCCCGTTCATATTTATTAAAATCTTATCTCAAGTACATAAAACTTGGATTCATGTACATACTTCAGCCCCTGGGGGCTTGTTCGGAGTCGATGGCGTATACTCCTCCGAGCTGAGCGTATATATATCACAATGCACATAAGCACTTCTGCTGCCTCTACCGCTGTCTTCACTCATAAACAGTGACTTCAAACTGATTCTTCTTCGAGCTCGTGATGATTCTACCATGATGCTATTGCAACTACAGTCTTTTGTTATACTACCATGTGTTAGTCATTACCTTACCCCTCCACTGCGTCTGATCGACGACCCGCGCGATCAGCATCCATGAGCTACAGGCGCTTAGAGGTGATTAACCTTCACGGCATTCATTATTGAGATTAAGATCTGATGATCTCTTTATACCAGGGATGGGCGTTGCCCGAATATCTCATCTCGGCACCCCAGGTTTCAAGCAATGTTATCAGGCCCTCAACCACCCGTATGAGTCCGACGGCTCAATGTTACATTGGTGCGCAGCTCAGAAGAATTAAGGTTACGACGTCGCCTTCTCCAAGACCATCAAACTCGGCAAATCCATGGTGAACCATCGGATCCGACATCCTACCTTAGCCCAGCATAGTCGGCCTCGGACCGCCTTGGATCCGGCGGGGGAGGCTAAACAAACTTGAACCATTCAAGGGTTCGACGTCATCACATCTTTGACGACACCATACGAAAGACTCATCAATCATCGGAGGAGGAAGCACACCAACTCAACTACGAAAAGACCAACAAACCATTGCCTTCGCTCAAAAACTCACCAGCTTAATCGAAACTCAATCACCCAAGCCCGCAAAGATGGCTACCACAGAGATCCCCAAAACAATGAAAGCAATCCGCGTAACATCCTTTAACAACCCCTACGAAATCCAAACAATCCCCGTTCCCTCTCCAACCTCTCTAGCCCCTCACGACCTCCTCGTCAAAATCGCAGTCGCATCCTACTGCCACACAGACAGCATGGTCTCCTCCGGCATCTTCGCCACTTCCCTCCCCTGCACCGCATCCCACGAAGGCTCCGGCACTGTCGTCGCTGTCGGCCCGGCGTCCGCATCCTCAGACTTCAACTTCAAAGTAGGCGATAGAGTCATGTGCGGTCTCCCGCTTCACCCGTGCGGTTCCTGCTTCGACTGTACTTCTGCACCAGAGACCTTTCGGCAGTATTGCAGCCGCATCGAGGGCCACGTCGGGGTCCATGTGGACGGGTGCTTTGCGGAGTATGTCAAGGTCGACGCGCGATCTACCGTGCCGATCCCGGATGCCGTCTCGTTCCTCAGTGCCGCGCCGCTGGCGTGTGCTGGACGGACGGTCTGGAGGGGTGTGGTGCAGGCTGGGCTGAAGGAGGGCCAATGGCTTGCGATCCTGGGGTCAGGAGGCGGGCTAGGTCATTTGGGGATTCAGATTGCCAAGGCTTTGGGCTTACGCGTCATTGGCATCGATGCGCGGGATGAGGGGTTGGAGTTGACGAGGACGAGCGGCGCGGATGTGGTTCTTGACGCGAGGAAGAAGAAGGAAGATGTTGTGAGGGAAGCGAAGGATGCTGCGAATGGAGGGGAGGGTGTAGATGCCACGCTCAACTTGTCTGATGCGGATTCGGCTGCGGCTCTGGCTTGTGCGGTGACAAAGATGCATGGGACGGTGGTGCAGATTGCGCAGCCTGATGAAGTGCAGATCCCGTTCCAGGAACTGGTATTTCGGGATGTGAGGGTGAAGGGGAGTTTGCTGTGTTCAAGGGAAGAGAGCGTTGGGTTGATGGAGCATGTTGCGAAGAATGGGATCAAGCTCAAGACGAATGTCTTTCATGGGTTGGACAAGATTCATGAGCTTGTTGAGCTTGTGCACACGGGGCAGATGAGCGGCAAGGCTGTCATTGTGGTTGACGAGCAGCAGATGAAGAATGAGAAGAAGCTCGGTGCGAAGTTTTGATGATTGAATTAACGAGATCGCAAATGACCTCGCTCTTAATGCTAATAAGTATGATACAAACGCAATCCCCATACATAAATCATGACTCTGCAGAGCGGTTGTGGTTGACCACGTCCCTCCTTTCCTTATCCCAGGGGCTTCCACCACGGTTCGTCGGCGTATCAGGCGAGTGGCTCACAATCTTGGTATCGACCGGAGACTGCCTGGGTTTCTCATTACTCTTGCTGGAACTCGTGAAGAACCCTTGGATCTTGGACCCAATGCCTTCTCCCGAACTGCCACTGCTTCCAGAGGTACTAGGACCGTTACTCTTCCCGGTCAATGCCCCCGTCAATGTACTCGACCCAGGTGTCATAGAAGGACCATGCGTCTCAATCGCCCGGGTATTCGAGTTTGCCCTTCCTGGTCCGCCTCCAATCTCCCCAGCGTCAGAGGGGAACTTGTCCTTGGGACCCTTGGGAGTATCACGGTCGGCGCTGCTGCCACCTCGATTGCCGGTGCTCAGCTCCGCGCCACCGGTGGCACCCGTGTTGGTGCCGATGCCTGCGCCGCCGAGGCCATTATCGCGTTTCGCGTCGGCGGCTTTCTTGCGCTGCTCTGCGACTGCGTCGGAAGACGGGCGGGAGTTATCTGCGTTGTTTGCGATTTGTTGGGCAGGGTCGCCTGCGGTTGTAGAGGGCTTGCGGACGTAGTAGATGCCGCCTCCTAGAAGGGCTGCTGCGCCCATTAGGGGGACTGCGTAGTTTTGACGGGACATTATGTGGAATTTGTTCAATGTGTGAATTGTTAATTGTGAGTTGTGTAGTTGTGGTGATCTGAGGTAGTAAACTTCCTTCGTAGAAAAGTTGATTGGTAGAAGGGTTGATGGAGGTAAGGTAAGGAAGGTGAGTACGGAATCTGTCCAGCTTGTATCAATGAGCAAGCTCAGAGATCAGGTTTGTTTTGCTGAGCTACCTGTGACGAGTCCATGGCATCATCCAAAGACCAGCTCTTTCGCTCCATGGTGTCTCATGCGAGGCGTAAATCTATGACAGCTTCTCATGTGGGCAATGACATCAGCATATGGTGCGAACGGTCCGCGCTTGCGGAGCTACTAGACATCCCATAACCGATCGGCAGGGACCAACTTGAATGATGAGGCCATGATTCGTCAATGGGGTTAGTCGCAGATTAGTCGCGGCCCATTCTCCAGAGAATGAGCTAGTGAGACATTTCCATCTGTGAACTGGGGATGAGGCTTGGTGCGAAATGGTGTGGTTGTTCAAGTGGAAGAACTTCTGCTCGAGAGGCGTACTCATGTCCTACGCGACGACAAGCAACCCCATGCTCTCTGTGTGGCAGAGATTAGATCGGATCGGATCGGACGCAGTGGACCGGTGCCGATCGTCACATTGCCGGCCCCAAGTGGGCAATCTGCGGGTTCTTGGCTCCACGCTCCACCCAGGAGCTCCGGTTTCTCTCCCGGACCGGCGCGGCATCGGATCGGATCAGAGTTCGATGCTCTTATTCAACCAGACGCAGGAGAATCATCACATTTTCTCTATCCCTGGGTATCGCCAGTAATCGACTCAAGCCCCTCTCTTCAACCCAACACCCTGCTCCTCCATCCAACTCTTCCTCATTCCCAGTCGTCTCCTCAACACCATACACCCAGCCCCCGCAACTGAAGCCGCGAAACAAAGCGCCTGCAAAATCACAAAGCCCGTCCCAAACCGCCCATTGACATCCCCCTCCAGACCCCTCGGCCGGTTAACATATTCCTTCAGCAGCATCCCGTTCCCTCCCAACGTAAACGCCGGCAAAAACGCCGCAGCCGGCAACATAAACCAGCACCACCCGCGATACCGATCCCAAAACACCGGCGGCAACGCCTCAATCTCCGCTCTCGTCCCGCGCGGACACGGACACACGCGCTTGATACATGAGAAGTAGCACTGGCATCGCAACCAGCTCGGCCGCACGGCGATGAGCAGCTCCGTGACGAAGAGGTAGGATACCACGACGAGCGCATATACGAGGGCGATGTTGGCTGTCGCGGTGGGGAGGATGAGCCACGAGTTGCGAAAGGCGCTGAGGAAGGGGTTGTTCTGGCAGGCGTCTTGGGCGAAGTGGTAGCATGCCCATTCGGACTCGGGGAGGCGGAGGGCGTGAGCGACGGCGCCGAAATCGTAGGGGAGGTGAGGGGATGAGTCGAGAGTGCCTGCGAGGGATTTGGATGGGTAGGTATAGGCGAAGGAGGCGGCGAATTGGTGCATTGTTACGAGGTAGGTGTTTGGGTTCGTTTGTGATGCGATGATGCCGTCAAACTGTGGGTTCGTGAGGGTCAGTCCATGTTGAAGAGTTCGCGATGATCGAGAGAGCCTTCTGCTTACCTCCACTATAGCGAGGCTCGACAGCCCAAGACGTTGGGCACCGTTGCTGTCGCGGATTACCCAGGTGCCGGCCGTAAGAGTCAAGATCTGGACGAGAGCGACGAAGAGGGCGAAAATGAACGCCAAAACGAGCAGCAACGGGCGCATGAGATGCCGCCGACCAGGTGAGACTGGCTCTGAGGGTGAATGATCCATTTCGGTGACTTTTTTACCCTCAGTCGTGGACGATCCAGATTGTCAAGCTCTTTGTTTCGCTGCCTGCGATGTGGTTGATGCAAAAGCCATCAACACTTGGAACCCCAGCGTTTACGGCGCAGACGAAACTGTGAAGGCGCCGGTAGAGTTAATAGTTTTAGCCTCAAGGGATACGGGTGATCTTAACTGATCATCATTTGGCTGGTAGGGTCTCAGTCAGCTTCAGCTCGGGGGCTGTGCTGTGCTGCAGCGGCGGAGTTCCTCGCGTCCTATAAACGGTCATCCCAAACAAGCGTCGGGAAGGATTCTTAGTTTATTGGCCAAGTTCAACCATGCGGTTCGTATTTCGTCTTGTTCAAGGTGATCATGGCGCCTTCAATCAAAGAGATCGAGATGCCAGTTGTGTATAAGCAGGCTCACAAGACTTGATAATCATGGTCAAGATGGATGATTCGTCGCGATGTCCACGTGCGAGTAGTTCCCGCCACCGTTTTGGAGACCTCCCTGCCATTGCGCTGAGCGACCTAAATCGCCTCATTGCGGAGATCCGCTTTAGCATGTCAATGCCGCTCACATTGACTCACAAAATATGAATGATGTTTGCCTCCCCCTCACGGACGAACTTCCCACGGCCTCGTATTCACTTATAAGAATTGATTCTACGCAACATTCAGGCGTGGAATACCAGAAATTTGGAATTCCATCAATACCTCGCGAGGCTTTTCAAAGTAGCACCCGTTGCTACAGCTGGGCTGCTCTCGCCAGTAAGGATCTCAATTGTCGCAACGATTCATGAGTACTTACCCAACGACGACGTATCCCGCCTCAAACGAAATATGCCCAGTCGTATCTTCTATATAATAGATCAAAATGGCTTGAGTTGTCATTGACACTTATAGAACGGCTGGTACATTCTGCGCCAATAGTGCCATTGAACGGGGACAGGTGAGTCGTCCGGGCAGCTGTGCCTTGAACCTGGTGGAGCTTTCATTTAAGCTTACTGCCAATGCGGGAACTTACGACAGGCTAAGGTAGGCGTCATTCATGTGAGTTTCACAGCGTTCAATGCCTGCTAGATTGAAGCACGCCTCATGTTCGAGACTTCCTATCAATCTCAAAATGAGATGAGCATTCTCGCGATATAGCGGTATGGATAATTGGCTTTCAAGGTGTATGGTGACGCCAGCTCAATGCAGATGTAATCGCTTACAAGAAAACACACGCTCTCATTTGACATCACGATGAACGCCCCCAGCTCGTGATCTCCTATGCTATCTCAACGGCCCTCATCTAGAGCAAGACGTGTCGAATTAGAGCTTAAGATTTTCAAGAAGACGGAAATGTGTTTATTACAAGGGTTTCAATGGATATCTCGTCTCAAACAACATCCTTTTTGCCGCTCACCAGGGCGGCCGCGGAAGTTCCCCTTTACCATCTACCGGCCAACCATCACATAACTCCTTAGAGCTACGAGAAAGACTCTCACGACGTCTTCCACTTCTCAAAAGACTTGAACACCGCCAACCCACAAACACCCGCCGTCCACCACCCGTCCCTCTCCAACGGCACACTCGGCCCAACATAGACCTGCCGCGGATGAACCAGCGCCATCTTCGCCAGATCCAGCAGCTTGACAGAGTTCCGTGACAACAACGCCCAAACATCGTCGAACAAGACCGCACCGAGTACCCTCACAGTGCCGTCGAACTTCCAGTCCCGCCTCATCGTCGGTCTTCCAGCTGCATCTCGAGACGGCCTCCTCTCCCTCGTTGACGGATCCCTATCCTCCCTATCCTCGTCATCCGGCTTGGCTAGCAAGACAAAAGAACCCAGGTCGCCGTGGGGAATAATTGGTTCCGCGTCATCTTTGACTGGGTGCAAGTATGAATCGATGGACGCCTTGTCCGCGACCAAAAAAACGCCTCCGCTGAGAGTCATGAAGCCCTCGCACGCCGGAGACTTGCTATACCCCTGATAATGTCTGTCCACTTGTCAGCAACCCAAGCTCACATCATACTCCCAATCAGCGGGGTAACTCACCTCTTAGCCGCTTCAATGTCGTCCTCGGGAATCCCATATTCCCGCCCATCAATCCATCTCACCTTGCACATGGGCTTCACATCACCAGCCCCATCAACACCCTCTCCCCACGCCGTAACATCATCCTTAAACTTTTCCAAAAACGCCTTCCACTCCTCATCAGAATGCTCATACGACACACGATACCCAATATAACCCCAAACCCTAAACGGTCGATGAGTCGCCGTCTGCATAATCCCCTTCACACCAGCAATCCACGGCTCATCACCCACCTCCGGCACCGCCCCTCGCAACTCCCTCCTCGCCTGCTCATACTCCCTCATCTGCGCCCGACACGTTGCCTCCATACCCCTCGGATCAGACAAGGCCGGCACCTCCCTCCCCAGCCTGACATTCTCCATCGCGCGCTGAACCTGCGCCGACCGACTGAGATACCGGCACCGAATCCCGTAGATCCTGGAGCGGAGCCGCATATCATACGGGTATGCCGTCATCGGCTCCCGCCCGTCATACCCGTTCCAATTATCCCTCAGCCTCGGCGCCGCAGAGGTAAGAGTGCGGAGGGTATACCCCCACAACGGCACCATAATCTTCGTATCCGCCTTGTTCGTTATCTCGGTGAGGTCGTGAAACCGGTCCAGGATCTTCATTTGCGCCGCAGACGCCGGGCCATCGGACACGGGTGTGGTCTGACGCAGCTGGAGCAGAAGAGACTCTTTCAGCTCCCCTATCCGCGCCATTACCCACACGTGCGCTCTTGCCGCTATGGTACTAAAAAAGTCCACGATATACTCCTCCCACAGCGCCGTCACGCTCACCGGACCCCCGCGCCCCTTTTCCCTTCTATACGCATTCAGAGCTTTCTCAAAGTCGTGACACGCATTCCAGACACCATTGCACCCCTTCCGCATCCTCTCCTCATTATGCGGGAGGTTAAGATACTCGAACGCATCCACTACAGCACATAGATGCTGACACGCGCGCTGAATGTTATCCAGCTCATGCAAACCCTTCTGGCGCCACCTCGCAATCGACATGGGCGGCGCGCCGCAGAGCAGACGGGTGTTCATGTGGTGCAGATCGCGATCGCACTCCGTGCTCGTCGAGGTGACGATGGAGAGCATGTCGCCGAAGCCCGAGACGGTGGTCA